GGAGGATCACCAAATATACATCTGATGCAACCTCACATAGTATTGAGTCCAACACAAACTTTTTCACCAGTCAAGACAAGGCATATGAGACAAGGCTTGTCCAATAGTGAACCACAAATTAAAACAAATCAGGATGTTCTTGATGTTAATCAAGGTTAGTCATTCTTTGTTATGAAATAACTTAAGGCTAAGATGCTGGAAGAGTTTTGAACTTGAAATACTATTACTGTAAATTTCATAAATCTGTTAATCCTCCACCCTACTGCTATTTGGATTTGTTCTCGGTAGCCCCGAGTTCAACTCCTCGACTGTGTTGTGTAAATAGCCAACTGGTCAGCCTTCAACCAGTTGGGATTCTTAATAGTTTATGTTATATTTGAAATATTTGTTTATTTATTTCCAGTGTCCCCAATTACTGTAGCACATTTAATAGTGCTAAATACATTTGACACTTAAATAAAGTAATTATTTATTTATTATTAGGTAAAGTCTGCATATTTGCCAAGTGTCCTATTAGGTCAGCAGTTATCTCTGGTTTCTGTAGCATGAAGCGACAGGGAGTATTTCTACCCCCCCTCCCCTTTGGATAGGATGCTAGTCCATCACAGGGTTACCCCCACACAGTAGCATACAGTAATGAGGTAAAGTCTGCATAAGAGCCAAGTGACCCATCAGGCTGGAGCTTATCCCATTTTCTGAAGCATGAAGCAACAAGGAGTATTACTACTCCCCCCTGGATGGGATGCTAGTCCATCGCAGGGTTACCCCCAGCATTAAGTTTGCCGGTACACATTTATACACCTGGGTGGAGAGAGGCACTATCAGAGTAAAGTGTCTTTCCCAAGAACACAATGCAATGTCCCTGGCCAGGGCTCTTTGAGTTGTGCATACAGTAGCATACAATACATAATTGTATTTGCTGCCTTTTTTGTATACAGGCGCATTGACAGCTCCTCGTCAAAGCAAAGGACAAAGAACTATTGATTTATCTACAACAGTCAAAAGAAACGTGAATGAAACTCAATTTTATCAACATGTTTCCCAGCCACAGGACAGAATATCAAATGTTTATGATCAAGGTGCTTATGATAGTCTTAATGCTCTTGAGGCACTTGCATCACAGAATGGCTTTAATTTTAATGCCTCAGTTCTGGGACAAGCATCGCAACAGCTTGCTGCATTAAATCAAAAGCAAAGAAATTCTCATCCACATGACAAAACTTCAGCACAGCAACAGGAAGGCCATATAGGCAGAACTAGAACTAGTTCAGAGTCAAAATCAAAGAAAAGGCGTAAATCATCTAGGGGCAAATCAGAGGCTGACATTGAGAATGAGCCAGTACAGCACAGCTCAACACAACTACACCATTCAGAGATTGTAGAACATGACAATGTCTTTAATGTAACACCAAGTGAGAAAAGCTCACAGCAGAGAGCTTCACGATCAAATAGAAAGTCTGTGGAAGAGAAAAATGACACCAGTGTTGATGCTACAGCTGATGCACAGAATTTAGCACCCATGTCAGCGATGGACTTGAATCTCGCAAAACAAAATCATTCACATGTGTTACCCAATAGAACAGAGGGTATGATATCACCAAATAGTGATCAAGGAAGGGACCACCCTCAATGCATATCACCAATGGTAAAGTTATCTCCTGCTCTCAAGGGGATTCAGCTGTATGTTCCAAAGTTAGTTATAACCAAAGTGAAGCAGCGGCGAGGCTCCAAGGAGGTGGAGACACATCAAGTTCGAGAAGTTTTGCCAGGGAGTGAAAGTGATTTGCAAAAGACCAAGAAGCGTCGGAGGTCAAGTGACGAAAATTCTAGAAACAGTAGTATTCATGACTGGGAGGAAGGTACTGTATGTTACTGACTATGTTAAGTAGGCATGGCGGTTTCCCTTTACAGTCGGTCACTCCATTTAAACAGCTTCCTTGCATGAGTATGAGAACAAGGCTGTGGTCTAAGAAAAATTACAAGGAACCCAAAGGTGCCTAACCATGAAATCCTGGGTGTCCAGCACTAAAGCTTATATGGAAACAGAGAGTTTTTCCAGTCTCCCAAAGGCAAAAGTTAGTCACCTGTTGCACACAGGCGCTTCTAGAGCACAGCCCTGGAGAAGGAGGGGTTTCTCACCATGCCTGATATCTGGGGTCCTTCTCATTTGTCAGCTCATGCATGTACTTGGAAGAATACGCTTTCCATGGCTGGTGATTTTTGCAAACCAACCATGACCCCCAATATCCAGGCTACCATCATACTGACTACAGGGCTCGGTCCGGGACAAGTAGATTCTCCTTCTGGACAAGTACCTTTTCATTCTCACTTGCCTGATGGGCAAGGGATGAGGCAGGTCATTTGCCAACTAAATCATTAAAGGAGTAAGCTAAGACTTGCCCATGACAAGCAAAATTTGAGAGATACTTGTCCCAAGGGCAAGCTGGAATTCAATTTTTTTAGCCCTGTTAACTAGGCTGTGGAGTTCAGTGCAGTGTAAGGTGAAAGAGAACAAGGAAACTAAATGAAGGGAAGTTGACTGTGTGGTGGATTTATCTAATTGGTAAAGATCACTGACAGTGCTGCACTAACAAGATTCTTTATTCTGAACACTCAAGGAAGAACCCTGTCAGGATGTGTGGTAAATAAGTCACTGTATGTGGCAAAATTGCAAGTTGCTTGCACATTTTCACAGGGCTGTAAGAACTTTAAGTTCTGAACCTACCAACTGCTTAAGGCTGCCTATAGATGGTTATTTGTTCAAAATTTAACTTTGAAATAACTGTTTTTTCAGCCCCGCCTAGGAAGAAAAGCAAAAGCAAGAAGCAGAAAGTTCAAGAATCTCACGATCCTGAAGGTACGTGTGTATTAGGATTGTTTAATTGGCTATTTCTGAGTTACAGTACCACTCAAAAGTAAGTTACCATTTCTCGCTCAACGTTAGTCTCATCTCCAGAGATGAGAGTGTCACCTCGCAAGACGAGAATCTCATCTCAAGAGACGATTGTCTCGTCTTGTGAGAGCTAGTGAAGTGTACATTTTGGAATAAATTATAAGCAGTTGAATGTTTTCTTGGTTCTGTTTTTAGATATCATGGAATCACCAACCTTCAAAAAGCTTGGAGATTTACTTGAGAACTTGTTTGAATTTGATGATGAGTGTGATGCACCAAGTTTTCATGATTTGGGTAAGTCTTATATTTGAAGTAATGCACTGAAGGTACTGTACATGTAGCTAAAGACACTTCTGACTTTCTTGGGTTGTACTTTACTTTCCATTTCAGATTATGTGTTTTTTTTTTCTTTGTCAATTGAATAGGAACTTTTCTTCATCACACTGACTTGTTTTCTCCTGTAGATGACCAGGAACCAAAACCAGAAACCCTTCTTTCGAGATCAATAGTTTTGGAATTTTACACTGAGACAGCAAAGCTCAAATCTTTAGGAGTATTACATAAGGTAAAAATACACCTCAATTTGCTATCAATAAATCAATGTTCTTCATGTGGATCTATCCTAATCACAAGAAATTTGATGAATTTACTCTGAATTGTTCCAGGTACCCACTGAGGATTTGATGAGACTATTGAATATAATGGAACGGCACATTAGAGATGGTTTACATTTACAGTTGCAGAGCAATGCAGACCAGGTGAGTGTTAACTTTTCTCTATAGTAATGTCCTAGCAAAATGTGTTGTACACAATAATGACCTCTGTCCAGCGGTGACCTTCAGCTTTCAAGTTCCTTTTTACTTCAGGATGATGACGAAGAACAGAGACTTTGGCGTGACTTATGCCTCGATAGGATGGTGCGAGCAGTAGAGGCTTCTCTGGTTGTCCTTATCGTCCTCACATCTCCTGCCATGTCCAAACAGTTATACCTTGAAGAGGTCATCAACAGGGTTATTTCTCTTGCAAAGTATCAGCTGAAAACCAACATTTTCCCTGAATATGATCCCCTTTATAGAGAATCAGACCCTAATGGTGAGATATTGCTTTAAAATACAATTCAATGTATAGTTAAACTACATTGTTCAGATGTAACTTGATGTAATTTATAATTTGAGGGAGCTGCATTGCAGACCTATTTTGCCTACGACTCAGATTACACATGTAGGTACTTTTCCAGTCTGGGTGCCCTTTGAGTGTAGAAGTGTCGTTAACTTGTCAATGAGCATATTGTTAAGGCTACTTTTTGAGTGAGTTAGAAAGCAAGCATTGTAACGAGGACAAGTTCCTAATGTGATAAGCTTTTGAAATACATCACACTGATTCTTTTTGGAGAACCTGAAGTTAAAAATGACCAGACCAACTGATAATTGCACCAGTACATTTACGTGATAGAAGCAGTCAATAAGTTCAGCAAATGGGATTGGTAAGGGCAAANCTCATACACACTAATCAGGCATACGCGTATATACATACGCGTATACGCGTATTGGGCTGACGCGAATTACGCGTATATTTTGGTTCGGATATATCTGAGCTGCACTGTATGTCAGCAGCTTATGAAAGTAAGTGCAAGGGTGAGATTGCCTTGAAATGTGTACATGTACTGCACTCCTTGCAAACAGTCTAAATTAAAATAAGTCAAATTATTCTCGCAGTTTGATTGGTTTACTTACAATCTATTGGAGGACAGATGTATGGATGATGATATATTGATTCCATGTTATCATCCGTCTGTTCAGTATTAGTATAAATCTATTAGTGTTCTATCATGAATGCCATTCTCTGATTGGCTTCACTACTCACTATCTATTCTGTGATAGATAGTGAGTAGCGTAGTAGTGTGCTCTTGCTAACAAAATGATGGCCGCTTCTTGGCATTTTTGAAGTGTCTCTGAAGAGGGTTTAGCTAAAGTCTTGAACAACTAGTAGATTTATACTAAAACAATTAGATTATTTGCTCTTGATGTCTATGCGTGATAGTTGACTCGGGCTGTGCCCTCCTCAATTATCACACGATAGAAATCTCGAGCTCATAATCTAATTGTTTAATAGATCACAGAGTACGTCAAAATGTGGTAAGAACATCAGTGACACACTTGGCTACTGTCTTGTGTGCCACTTTTTTGTTCTTACACATTTTGACATCATCTGTAATCTGTTACTACACAGACACACAGAAACATGGAATCTATTTGTTGTATAGAACTCAATCTAAATCCGATATAATATTGTAGAATGCGTGTGAAATTTTACACTGTTTCAGACTTGTTTATCACAATTGATTTTGTTGATTTTTCTAGAGAGTGTCCTTATGATGCCAAAAGCCAAAAGAGCCAAGTCTGCTCATATAAAACTCAAGTCTATGTCACTGTTTTACAACAAAGTGTGTGAACTGGTCTCACTGCTGGGAGATCTTGTGGATATTCAAGCCCTTACTGATACAGATGTTTTGCAGGTACAATAGTTTCATACCCTAAGGAACGGGCATGTTTAAAATCTGAATTGGAAAATGTCATCAGGTTATCCTAAATAGTGCTCAGGCTAGCCTATATATCACTGACTTGAAGGGGGTTAGTTCTCAGTAATTGTATGGTGAACCGTGTACATCATTGTTAATTGGCATTTCGTCATTTTGCCAAGTTTGTGCCATTTCAATGCATCCCTAATGGACTGCATATTAACTAATTTGAGTCATAATATTTGAACTAACATGATGGCTCTCATAAATAAGGCCTATTGTACTGCACATGCTTGAGAGAAAACGAGAAAGTCCACGACTTATTTCTCAAAAGACAATATTCACATATNTTTTGTTTTCGTTCATAGTTTGCTAGGCAGTTCTTTCTGGCCCAGTGGATTAGAGATAACCACATTGAAATCGAGCGTTCCCTAAGGAGTCCTGCTGATGATCCCCTTGATGCTGCAGAAGGAGTGACTAATGATGCCTTGTTAGGAGCACAAAGCATTGCAAAGCTGGAAGACAAAAAGGCTTTCTTGTTGTCTATTTTGGATGGAAAAAATCTGTCAAACTTCAGGTGAATACTAGTTGCTTTCTTGGTTTGCTGTGGTAAGGCATACATGTAACTACATGTAGTCTTGGCTGAAGCAGACAAACAAAGTTATAACTTAACAAAAACAAAACAGGATACCATACATTGCTGTAGCCTAATGATGTATATTTAAACAAATGCCCCTCTTTGCATTTGCATAACATGTCTGTTTGAGTGCTACTTGTGTGCAAAAATATTAATTTAAACCAAGCCATAACAAATCATACAAAAAGCTGTACATGTAGAGCTGCATCATTGGTTTGGAATATTCTGAATGGACTCTCAGAGGTTTATTGAGGGAGAATTAATTGCCTGGTTTTAGAAAAGTGCTTTCTCAAACTAAAACATTGACTGAAACATAGGAAGCATTCATGAGCCAACACAGTCATTTCTCAGAAAAACTCTTAAATTTATTATTATCAAAAATTAATTTGAATGAATATTCAGTGGTGATCACTGTGATATCATATACCAGTTTCAAATTATATAAATATGTATATGTTCATTTTCTGAACTCCATAAGTATCTGAAGTGGCTATTTGGCATGTTGGACCTTCAATGAGATTTATTACAAATTGGACAAAGATTTGGGAACTACTCACAGGAATAGTCTTTGACAATGAAATAACTTGATCTTTGCAGGTCATCTAGTAACTGTTTAGACTATGATCAGGCAACACTGGTCACAAGACATCTTGCTTCATCAAGATCATTTTCAAGGAGCTTTGATGCATACTTGAGCCAGGTATGGCTTATCATCTTGCAGTAACAGTGGAGTATCTTTACACCTCAGTTAAGACAACTGTTAAGACAGTTACTCAGACTGAGACTCGGGGCCTTATACATGTTGTTCCTGAGAAAGCATGTAAACAAACACAAACGTGACTAAATGATTCTACCNAGAAGGAGTGACTAATGATGCCTTGTTAGGAGCACAAAGCATTGCAAAGCTGGAAGACAAAAAGGCTTTCCTGTTGTCTATTTTGGATGGAAAAAATCTGTCAAACTTCAGGTGAATACTACTTGCTCTCTTGTTTTGCTGTGGAAAGGCATACAGCCGTAGCTACATGTGGTCTTGGCTGAAGCAGACAAACAAATTTATAACCAAACAAAAGCAAAACAGGATACCGTACATTGCTGTAGCCTAATGATGTATATTTAAACAAATGCCCCTCTTTGCGTTTGTGTAACATGTCTGTTTGGTTGCTACTTGTGTGCAAAAATATTAATTTAAACCAAACCATAACAAATCACACAAAAAGCTGTACATGTACTTCCTGGACCTTTGTAGAGCTGCATTATTGGTTTGAAATATTCTGAATGGACTCTCAGAGGTTTATTGAGGGAGAATTAATTGCCTGGTTTTAGAAAAGTGCTTTCTCAAACTAAAACATTGACTGAAACATAGGAAGCATTCATGAGCCAACACAGTCATTTCTCAGAAAAACTCTTAAATATACTGTTATCAAAATTTGAATGAATATTCAGTGGTGATCACTGTGATATCATATACCAGTTTCAAATTATATAAATAATGTATACGTTCATTTTCTGAACTCCATAAGTACCTGAAGTGGTTATTTGGCACGTCAGACCTTCAATGAGGTTTATTACAAATTGTACAAAAGATTTGGGAACTACTCACAGGAATAGTCTTTGACAATGAAATACCTTGATCTTTGCAGGTCATCTAGTAACTGTTTAGACTATGATCAGGCAACACTGGTCACAAGACATCTTGCTTCATCAAGATCATTTTCAAGGAGCTTTGACGCATACTTGAGCCAGGTATGGCTTATCATCATGCAGTAACAGTGGAGTAGCTTTACACCTCAGTTAAGACAACTGTTAAGACAGTTACTCAGACTGAGACTCGGGGCCTTATACATGTTGTTCCTGAGAAAACATGTAAACAAACACAAACGTGACTAAATGATTCTACCTTTGCAAACAATGTGCAGAGTTGACCTCACCTCCTCTCCTCTCCTCTCCTCCCCTCCCCCTGATATAAACACATCTCTAGTGTAAGCACCACTTGGTAGTTAGATTGTTGTCATTACTACAGCTGTACATGTTAACTTGTACATTGCACAGATCCTCAGAGTGCTGAATGAGAGTGCTGTCGCCATCAGAACCAAGGCAATGAAGGCACTCTCTGCTGTCATCTCCGCCGATCCTTCCATTCTCTCAAGGGTAAGAATGCATGTACATGTATTTTAGCATTGTTTTTGTAATTTATCTAGTTAACTATGTACAATAACTGTTTAATATGGTATTAGAAATTAGTCCAGGGAAATAAATTGTGCTACTAAATACGTATGATTTATTCTAACCTTTACCTTGTTTTATGTTTTAACTCTTTTGCCTATTTATATTTATGTCCATGTTAAGGATGATATGCAGAAAGGAGTTCATTCAAAATTTGTGGACATGTCAACCAGTGTAAGAGAAGCGGCAGTTGAGCTCATTGGACGTTTTGTCCTCAATAAACCAGAGCTTATCCTTCAATACTATGACATGATCATTGAGAGGATACTTGTAAGTTGTTCTCATTATATGCTTGTACAAGATAAATATTGAATAATTATGATATTGTTGCAGCTCACAATATACATCTTGGTAACTAGAGGGGAGTCGCACAGACAAGTGTCGCTGCAATCTTCCTCAAATCGGTTAACTTGGGTTGATAACAGAAAGCCAATACTATGTTCAATTGTCATGGTCAAGGGTCTGCCCTCTGTGATGGTGCAATGCCCATGACTGCTCTAACAAAGCTGAAGTTGTACAAGGGAGAAAAGGCAATAACATAAGAGTTACTGATGCTAGTTACACGGTTGGAATGGACGCTATTCAAGATGTGACTAAATATGTTGTTCTAAGGATGTGACATTGAAGACACAAGGGTTTCATTGATGTTTTCAGCTGGAAGAGAATTGGTTTTCACCAGCATGCAAACCTTTTTTTGAACTGAACTTCTTCATAGGACAAAAATTCTTAAAGATGGTCCAGAAAGCAGGCAAAATTATTCTTGCAGCTAACCAATTTGCTTGGTTCCGAGCCCTCAATGAAATCCTTGACTGGAGGATACATGTATTTTTACTTTACATTCCCAGTACCCACTAGGAGAAATGAGGAAATATATATAAAGTAGACCAAATTTCAATCCATAAGTTTCTTTTGTGTTTTGTTTCATTTTGACAGGACACTGGCATCAGTGTAAGGAAAAGAGTGATCAAAATCCTTAGAGACATATGCATTAGTCATCCAGACTTTCCAAAAGCTACTGAAATATGTGTCAAGATCATTAGAAGAATATGCGATGAAGAAGGAATAAAGGTAATACAGGATTGGTTTTTAGAATTAGACAAATCTTTTCTCTCTCTTTTTCTGGCTAGATCTGCCCTTTAGGAATAGCCTTTTATTTTTTTTAAATAAAGTCAGCTTTGCTTAATGAATTTTTTCAGGAACTGGTCACCAAAGTGTTTCAGCAGATGTGGTTTACTCCACTCAAGAACGATGAAAACTCTGATGTTCTTGTCAAACGTGTTGTTCATATGACCGATGTGGTAAGTCTTTATTTCCTTAATGTAGAGTGTTGGCAGCCTGTTTTTCTCTCGAAATTAGGCTAACCCCATTTCGTCATTGCTGCCTTTATGCGTTCATGTTTACAGATAAACAGTCGCCCTTAAGAGAAAAGACTGGCTACCAGGAATCTATCCTTAATGTAGTGAATTTTTTTTTTTCCCTTTTAAAAAATTGTAATTACAAAACTGTCTATAACTTGACTATCTTCAACGTAGGTTGCAGCATGTGGTGAGAGTGGGGACTGGTTCGAGCAGCTATTGGAAAATGTAAGTTCCTCGATACATTGAGGAGTTTTAACATGCATCTACAGTCGACCCAGTGAAAAAAATAAGAAAATTGCCAAATGCTCCACATCTATAGTATCACTGCTAAATGTTTTTGTTTAGAGGTGTGGGGTTTATAAGGAGGAATTATGTTACGTTATTATAAAGACAGTTGAGGAAAATACCAACACCAAAATCTAAGAACTAAATGCAAACAACAAAAAAATGCATTGTTCTCAGTGCAGCTATTGAATACCTCAAGGTTGGTACTAAAAGTGTTATTAATTCTTTATACTCTTTGTAGCTGCTTCACAATGAGGAAGATTCTATTTCTAAAGCTTCAGAGGAGGCCAGTCGACAAATTGTAAATTGTCTGGTTGAGAATGTGTTGAGTTTGGAAGAGAGAGCAGTTGGTAAGCGAAAACTGTTCTTTTTTTGTTGCATTCAGCCTTCTATAGAACTAGAAAAAATAATAAAAGTTGTTTGGTCAACCAAGTGGAGAAAACCAAGTCAATAAACACATTGAGAACACTCTGAGAAAACTGAGAAAGGATAGAATGCCAGGATGAACATCATTTCCTGTTATTCACGAAGAGAAACATTAATAAGAACCTTGGTCTTTATCCTTTGTGTCAGTAATGTGTCTCTTTGTTGTAGCCCAGTCTGAAGGCAAAGGCTCAAGCAGCCAAAGACTTGTGTCAAGCTTGTCTACATTGTACCTGATAAGCAAGATTAAACCACAGCTGTTAGTGAAGCATGCCATGACATTACAGCCATACCTCAGTACAAAGTGCAGTGTAAGTATGAAAAACAAAATGTTAACTATTGAAAATAAAGCTTCTCGCTACAAACGTGTCCCTTTCTCTTCCAAATATGAGCCCTTTGAACATACATGTAAGCCCGCTTATGTTCAAATGTAGATTGTAAAGAAAACAAAAATAATAATTGCTTCACATGTACGTGATTGTAACACTCAGACAGCAGCTTGTTTTGCATTATATTGCGAGTCAAGTATATTTAGGCACTTTTGGAAAGTATATTTTTGGCGTCAGAAGGGCTTGCTTTGTGTTGCATTATATTGTTCAGTTTCCTTACTGAATTACACCATAGGACGTCCTTATAGGTAACTTTAGTATGAAGGTTCAACTATATTTATTTGGAATGCAAAACTCGTTCCAGTAGGCCACGCCCTATTCCAGTATATGTATGTTTCAAAATTAGAGTGACTTATTCGCTGGATTTTGTTCTTTTTCCTCTGTCACTGTTCACTGTAGACCCAAGGGGATTACCTTGTGATTCATAATGTTGCGCGCATTTTGGAGCTTGTAGTTCCACTGATGGAGCATCCAAGTGAAACATTCCTCGCTAGTTTAGAGGAGGACTTGATGAGACTTACAGTCAAACATGGGCAAACGGTAGGAACCCAGATAGTGTTTTTTTTAAGGAGAAGGCAGCTTGGCCTAGGGGCTGAGTGGTTGGGACGCTGAAGTTGAAATCCGGAGGTCGCTTGTTCAAGTCCCGCTCTGACCACTAAGCTGGAGTTGTTTCTCGGTAGACCCTAGTTCAACTCGGTCATGCTTGTAAATAGCCAACTGGTCTGCCTCCTGTCATTGGGGATTTTTCAGCCTATTATGTTAAGTTGATATATTTGTTTCTTTCAGTTTAAGTGGCATGCCTGTGAACTAGCTACAATCGTGGACAAAAATCCTTGGGGCACTTATGCAATGTAATGGATTATATGTGTTTTAGAACTGAAGTTTGAAAAAAAAACGTTGCTATATCCATTTTAAACGCGTTGCTGTTCCCCCTCCCCACCCAATGCAATGTTGAAAATTAGGTGAAATTGCCGGAACTAGTTTTCAACATTGTATGTGGGGTGGGGGGCGAGGTTAGGCAGGTGAAGTTGTATTCGCATCTGGCGTGTGCGGAAAAGTGCCAAAAGTGTAAATTTGTCCCAAGACTTTCGTCTATGATTGTAGTTGTAGCTACATGTAAGCGCATTGGCCATTATAAACAACATTTGAACATATTTTTAACACTTAGAGAGTTTTTTTTTGCTGTGATTGCAAAGACCCATTTTGCAGTCAAAGTTAAGCAGTTTTTCCTTTCAGTTCTGTTATTGAAGTACTGTACTCTTGCTCTATATTTCAGGTTGTTCAAAGTTGCATAAGTTGTTTAGGTGCTGTGGTAAATAAAGTCACCCATAACATCCGGCTCGTCAAGGACTACTTCCAAAAGTACCATGGTAAGTGTAAGGCCAACAAAGAGAAAAAAACTCACTCATGGAAAGTCATGAAGTACGTATGGGCAAAAAAATTCAGTGTAAATAAATTAACTTATCATGCACCCATGTGCGGCAAATAAGCAACTACATCGTGTGCAAGTCAAACTGCAGGGCTTAAAGGACTCCCTTGAGTCACCCAGAATGGACAATCACGGACCAACATTTTCTTGAGGTTAACTCTGCCTGAATTACTTTCAGCCACATGAAGCAATGTTGAATTTACAGAAAAAAGCTTGCATACATGATCTTTCAATCTTGATAAAACCTTCAGAGAAACATGACTTTTCTGTTTGGTCATGAAAAATTTTGGAATGGTAGACACAATGTAACAAAAAACGTACAGAACCAGTCTATAAAATAGCCAAGCATGTCGAAGAGGTTTCACCAAGTCGCCGCTGTTTGATTGTACCAATGGTCTGTTGTTGTACTCTTGTGATTATTAGGCTACCTAGCAAAGTCCAAAGCAGATCTGTGCAAGAATCCTGGCAAGGCTCAGGTGAACAGGCCAACTCTATTACGATCCTTGTTCACTCTTGGACTGCTCTGTAAGCAGTTCGATTTTGACAGTGATGTGAAACCAAAGAATGAGGTAAGCTCCATGTATTCAAACTACATTCGACCATATGACTGTAACAATGCTATAAACTAACTTTAATAAAACACTTGTTTGATTTGTGTAACCATTCAAATGGAGGCTCCTGCAAATAACTGTCGTATGATGCTGTAATTTTTTCATTTCGGCAAAATTTATATGTTTATTTATTTACAAATTTGATGGGTGGCCGGCAGAAAGACAAACGGATATAAGTCCTTTACAAGGCCTGCCTACCTAACCCATCCCAAGTTAAAACCTAAACCAAGGCTCGACTTTAAGGAAAAAACCTTGGGGCCAGGTAGCCCCTAAGTTTTCAGATTTAGTCTCCAGCAAAAGTATTTAAATCAGTGAAAAGCAAGGAAAGTTAGTCGCCAGTGAAAAGAATTTGGTATTTGCGACCCCAGCGGTAAACTCTGCAAACCCAAACCCAACCCACAAAAGAATTAAGAAAAAATGCGGCGGCCTTTGGGGCAGACAATTCTGCATGTTCGGATATTGTCTGCATCAAAGACTTTATGCAAACGAAAAAATAACGCTTCTTTAGGTGATTCTTAAAACTTGATAGAGAATCGAAATTTTTTATGGTATAAGGCACCCGTTCCACAAGTTATCTATCCTTATAAAAAAAAAGAGTCACGAAAGCCTGAAGTTCTGGCAAGCGAGGTCCTCAGATGATTACCGGTAACATCTCGGTGGAAAGGCTCCTGACTGAAGGTTAAGAGTTGCGAGATGTCCAGCTTAATTAACTCATNGGATATTGTCTGCATCAAAGACGTTATGCAAACGAAAAAATAACGCTTCTTTAGGTGATTCTTAAAACTTTATAGAGAATCGAAATTTTTATGGTGTAAGGCACCCGTTCCACAAGTTAACTATCCTTATAAAAAAAAGTGTCACGAAAGCCTGAAGTTCTGGCAAGCGAGATCCTCAGATGATTACCGGTAACATCTCGGTGGAAAGGCTCCTGACTGAAGGTTAAGAGTTGCGAGATATCCAGCTTAATTAACTCATTTCTACGTTTGAAAAAGTAAAAAAAAGCTATGGCCTTATTTCCAGTGACAGGTTTATTTGATGCCGATCACTGATGACGATGTGCTGGTTCTCTATTTTAAGCAGGGTTCCACTAAGGACAGAGTGTTTGCTGTGTACATCTACTTCACTAAGCACAGTGATGAAGAAGTTTGTCAAAAAGCCATTACAGGACTAGGTAGGTTAATTCACATCGGGTTAAACACCGGTTTTGTGAAGTCGATTTTTCGATATCTGTCATGCCAACAGTGAAAACCTACACTATGATAAATTAATAGAGTTTAGTTAGCGCACATAAATAAGTTTAGTGCCGGACTCGGACAGACTCATTTTAGCCCGAGCCGCTAAGCGAGGGTTAAAAGGAGCTCCGAGAAGGGCGCAAAACACATTTATGCCCAAGAACATAAACTGTATCACTATTATCACATAGGAAGGCATTGAGAAAAGAAAAACTGAAAAAAATGACAACAAAACAGTCTGAACAATCACGCGAGCGTTTATGAGTTCACTGGCTTTTATTTACATCACGCGAAGCTGGCTAGAAATGACAATATCTTGCCATTTGAGTTTTCAAAAATTGTTAAAGACATGAAAGGAAAAACGGTGAGGCTTATTTGTAAGTGTTTCAGCGAGTTATAATACATTTTAGCCTGCCAAATTCTCCATTTTAGCCCGCAAAATGCGCCACAGTGCTCGNAATGAATTTATATTTTACCTACGAATCTAGCGATACTCTAAAGTCATTTACTTTGTTTATCACTGTCAAAGCTATCGCAAAACTAAATTCGGAACACAGCGATAAATTTGAAATAAAAAAATTAAAAAATTAGCCGTCTTGGTTCACGTTCTCCAGGCAACGCAGAATTTGGTCATTTCACGTCGTTGTCTTGCAGAGGACGGCAAAGAAATGTACCAAGAATTATAACGCACGTGCACAGCCATTGTACTGCTCATTAATTCTTTTGTTCAGTGACGTTACCGTTGCCGTTGCCGTCGTGGTTTCGTAAACTCCCCATAGACGACGACGGCTAATTTTTCGTATTTCCATTTGGAACTGAAGGCCGTCTTTGCATATTTAGCTTAAACACGTTTTTAGAACCATTTGCGTACCTAACAGATCTAGACAATTGCAAATTTCGCTTGTAAAATATAAATTCATTTTTTACTAGGTGTCGTCCTCGCTGTCGTCGTCGTCGTTGCTTAAGCTCCCTAATAATAGCTGCATTAGGCACAAAATTTTCCTACTCTCTACCTTTGTCTCTTCAAGTCCCACTGACTCAAACCGTTATGATTAAAACGTAGGTGACGTTCGGAGCAAAGCCTTCTTTAAAAGCTCCTAACATGTCAATTCTTGAGAAACATTACTAAAATTTCAATTTACTCGGTAGTACTGAGGTTTGTGTTCATTATATTGCCGTTGCGGCTTTCCAAAATTACTTGATGATCACATTCGTATCTCTTCAGGGTTTCTTTGTATGAGGTATGGTGAATTGCTCCTGAAGGGAGAAGCCAAGGATCTTTACCAGGGAATCTTATCACAACCCAATCAGCCTTTGAAGCTTAAACTGCAGGTAGGTTACTTCATTTACATCAATTTTTGCACTGGTCATTGGTAAAAATTTTTTTTTTTGTAGACTGACAATTCTTCCTTAATCTCTCCCGTCCTACAATTAGACATAGCTAGGCTGGAGAATAACTCGAAAACCTAACGGTTCATTTAGCCTCCAGGATTACAACAGTTACTTTATCTGAAATATACGACCGACATATGTTAGGCCCAGGTCAAACGTCGAACTTCACATGAGACGAACTAAACTGAGCGAATGAAGTCCATGGTAAATTCGACGTTTGACTCAACTGCGTTTGTGCGACTGAATTTAGATCGTCTGCTTCAGACGGATAGAACGTGTTGGTCGATCTAAATTCTTAACCCGTTTGGATCGACTCAAATTTCGATTTACACGGAACCCCGCCTTACGGCCGCCCCGTTAATAGGGTCACTTTATTCTGACCTGAACAAAAGCTCAGTCAGTCATTTTCTTATTTAACGAACCTCGTTAATACGGCCACCCCGTTAGTTCGGCCAGATTTTTGTGGCCTGTTGGTGACCGGATTAACGGGGTTCCACTGCAGTTCGTTTCATTTGAAGTTCGACGTTTGACCTGGACCTACAAATGTAATGATATATTTGATTTGTATTGAGAAACTAAAGATGTTGTTGTTGTCAATGTACAGAATAAAATTATCTTTTTCAGAGCCGCGGATGAGTTGCCGTTTTTTTTTTTTTTTTTTTTTTTTTGACGTAGTCTTATCCTTTAATTTTGTAAGGTATTGAAGAACTTGCAGACACACCTTTTAGAGGAGGAAAAAAGACTTCATGTTCAAGATCATCACAGTAAGAGAAACACTAAAATAGTGCATGTATTGGGGGTGGGGAGTAAAGTCTGCATACGAGCCAAGTGGCTCATCAGGCCGGAGCTTATCCCGGTTTCAGTAGCATGAAGCGACCAGGAGTATTTCTACTCCCCCCTGGATGGGATGCTAGTCCATCGCAGGGTTATCCCCAGCATTAATTTCGCCGGTACCCATTTATACACCTTGGTGAAGAGGGGCACTGTGAGTGTGAAGCGTCTTGCCCAAGAACACAACACAATGTCCCTGGCAAGGGTTCGAACCCGGACCGCTCGCTCCGGAGTCGAGCGCGCTAACCATGAGGCCACCGCACCTCCCTTTGCTTCATGTAACTAATCAATCACTGGCGATGTCAGTACTATTAGTTTGAGAACAATGTCATGTTTTGAAACAGCTAGGAACCTCTGATGCAGCAAACACGAAAATATTTTTGTGACAACACTGGATGTTGGTCAAGCTTATAATCAAGATGTCAAATAACAATAATTGAAATATTTTCCTGAACTTTGCGAGTTTGTTAAGGCGAAGTTAAGTAACGATGTAGATTAAATACTTTTTTAAGTCACGAATTGTGAATGGTGTAACAGTATCAAGGTAACAGAATAATATGTTCATTTGTGGTCTTACTCTAGGACATAGGAAAGCGGAAAAAGAAAAGGAAAATCAAAACCTCAAGGAGTTGGGGGATAGTCAGTCTGGGTGAGTATTGTTTGACGTACAACGTTTGTATACATGGCACCTTAAAACACGTGAATTCGTTATTAAAGACTAAACAGATTTTTTAAAAGTGAATATTTGTTGTCACTATTGATTCGCAACCTCTCAAATGGTAAATAGTTCCAAAAAACTTAGATGTACCTTTCAAGTTTGCCATTAAGGTGTAAGATGGATAGCAGCTCTGTGCTGTTTGAGTAATACGTCTTCTAGAGGTTGTGTTAGGTCCTTGTAGGTCCTTAAGGGCCTTGCTTATGTAAGAAAAGTGAACGTTATAAGCACGTTGTTTCCTTAACAGAACTTTGAAGTTGATTGTGTGTATGGTTTCCTTTCCACAGTACAACAAGTGCAGTGATGCAAGTGTATCTCAAGAGTGTGCTGGAGAGCTTTTTACACCCCCAGCCTTCAGTGCGAATGGCTGCCCTTCACGTTGTGAATTTGATTCTGAGACAAGGTCTTGTTCATCCCGTACAGGTTGGTAGCATTGCCTATCAATTGAAACAACAACTTTGGCACGTACGAAATTGCATAGGTGTAGGTCTGCATTCACAAACCCATTTACACACGCGCGTGTGTGTCTAACCCAGTCTTGTTGGTCACAGTAGAAGACATCATTATATCTTAGGCCTCGTCCACTCTTCGCCGGAGGAATTAGAAAACGGAGGATTCAAGAGTCATCAAATATTCTCCGTCCACACTACGCCGAAGGAATTTAGGAACGCGACAATCACCGGTCATTTTGGATTTGTGTATGACGAAAACTCGGTATATTACGTGGTGATCGTGACTACATCGTTTTCAAAATGTTTTCCGTCCTCAGGAAAACGCAAAGCCGGTATTTTCAAATTCCCCCTGTTTGAAGAGCGTTTTCGTTAAGCACCATTTTCGTGACGGGTGTGGACGGCAGGCCTAACCGTAGAAATAAAGCTGCGTTTTCAAATTTCTCCCGCGTAGTGTGGACGCTGTCTTAGAAGAGCTCTACACTGTTCTTGCACTGTTATTGAATTCAATACTGGTTTATAGCTTTGACAGATTTTCTATTTGCTATGTTTTCTACAGTGTGTTCCATATCTGATCGCCATTGGAACTGATGAAGAACAACAAATGAGAGTAAAATCAGACCAACAGTTGTCAGAGATCGACAGCAAATATTCCATGTTTGTTCAGGTTGGTACTAGTCAACCTTGTTTCCGTGGTCTCTCATATTCCCACCCTCCATTTCCTCTCTCGCTCCGCGAGGGCGGAAAGGTGAGAGACTCTTGGAACGAGGTTGGGTGATAGTTTGGCTTAAAAGCCAAAGCTTAGTCAGATTTCCTTGTGTTTCGCATGCATCTTTATGCTCGATGTAGAGTCCAGCATGGTAACCAAAACCCCAGAAACCTATTATACGATTATACTTAAAAAAGGATACCTTCATTAGCAAACTGTTTGATATCTTTTCAATTTTAGATGAAAGCCCTGGCTGGAATAAAGATGTCATTTGAACTTCAACGCCTAGTTCACAAGGTTTGTGATTCGGTTTAAGGCACCCTTTTGATCATTGATGTCTCATAGAAGGAGGGATGGATAGATTGTTTTACTTGTTGTTTCGTTACTGCCATCAGCTAACTTTCATTCAGAGGTCAGCTCGGACGTTAAAGGAATTACATATATGTCTCGACATTTAAATTTATTTTTCTGATTAAAGGAAACCTCAAAGTAAGTCTTCAAAAATGGGAAAACACTTATGTTGTAATCATGATAATGGGCCGAAAGTAAACAAGATTGCCTTCCAATGAGGAAGATTAATACGGAGTACGATGTCGAAAGGCAAACTTGAAAAAAAAAGTNTACCTCGTAAGGTTGTCTTCTTTTCCTGATATTCCGGAAAATGCTGTTCCATTCGCCACTGGAAATTTCCGGAAATGCAAACCTGAGTTTATGGTCGAATGGAAAGCGCTCTCTGAATAGAAGAAGCGTCTCTATAAACGGTCTTTCATTATTATTATTTTTTTTTGATAAGAGGAAGTGTATGAGCTCGGGACCAAAGCCATTGTAACAGCGCGATTGTTCACACACCGTGTTCTTTACTCTCATGTAGGGTGCCAAATTAGACCTTCTGCTGTACGTGGCCGATAACATGGCGCACTTTCCTTACTCTGTTCAAGAAGAGCCACTCTTTGTTATTTACCACATTGACAACATCCTATCCGTGACAGGTGCAAATATGCTCCACTCCTTCAAAGAGGTAAGTTAGTTTCAAGCCCAGTCAAACAGTTTCAGTTTCAGCGTCACATTTAAGGAGCTCAGTCACAGTATTTTAGGGGGAAAAAATGGCCACGTAAAAAATTCAGTGCGCATGGCTGCCCTTCACGTTGTGAATTTGATTCCGAGACAAGGTCTTGTTCATCATTTAAATTGAAGGAATCCTGAAAATAGTAGCTTACAAAGATAGAAAAACTCCAAAGAGATATTAATAAACGATAGAGGAACAAGGATGGTTAAGGATGGCGAAGATTAATTCGGATTGCAAACGAACAATTTGAAAAATTTAGGCTAAACTTTTCAAGATGCACAAGCCGTGACGTAGCTCCTTTAAGACGATAGTCAAAGCAAACGGTTTCATCTTCATTGCGAGTGCGATTAGGAAATGGTTTCACAAGCCTTTGTCAGAATTCGATCCTTAAGACAATGAAATTAAAAAAAGAATTGAGAAAACTCAAATGTTAATTCCACGAGAACTCATTTGATCCAATGAAAGGGGAATTTCGTAATTTTAAGAACTTTTCACATCTTTTTAATTTTGGGTCCTCTCGAGTCTTCAGACACTGTTTTCTAGCCCATGTCAACACAATTTTCTCATAAGGTCTTTCATGTGTTTTACCAGTTTCTTGTTATTTATCGTTCGGAACGGAAACTGAATAGGCCATTTCCGAGTTGGCTTCTACCTCTGTGAAAACGAGTTTTCGTGCGAAACGATTCATACAAAAATGTGTTCCGCCTAGAGGTTCATTTGCACACTGTAAATCAAACTCATTTTCCTATGAAAGGTTTTGCACAAGGACTTGTTTTGAAGCAGAGACACAAGGTAACTCAGAAATGGCTTGTTGAAACATTAAAGGGGCTCAGTCACGGCATTTTGAGTTATTTTGGCCACATACAAAATTACCTTTAAATGGTAGGAATCCTGAAAATAACAGCTTAATAAGATAGAAAAACACCAAAGAGATAGTGATAAACCATAAAGGAACAAGGATGGCTAAGGATGGAGAAGATTAACACGGATTACAAACGACGAATTTGAAAAATTGAGGCAAAACTCTTCAATATGCGCAAACTGTGACTGAGTTCCTTTAAGTTGTGCAATTAATGTTACATGTAAAAGGCAGGTTGCCTCTTAACATGACGAGTTGTATTGTTGTTGTAAGTTACCTATAATGTTTATTTAACAGGCTATGACGTCCAAAGTAACGCCAACAGTTGAAGGACTTGACAACGTTCCTCCACCTTTAGAGAACGAGTTTGAAGAAGAAGAAACCTTCGAGTCTGTTTTAGGTAAGTGAAATAAGGTTCAAAAAAGACATTTGTGAGGAAGTGGATATCAGCAATTAACAAACCTAGCCGACCGTCTATTTGGAATCAGTGCATTTAGTTGGCTGTTACATAGTTAATTGTTTCACCGATAGAAAATGTGTCCGAGGGTGTTGTCATATTCCAAGGGTTATCAGATTTAATTGGAGCACCAGTCCATGCTAATCTTAATTTAAAACGCAATGTCTCTTTTCATGTATGATATAACCAAACTGTTTTTGTTTTCTGTTACATTCAGCTCGGATTCCCCCAGACCCAACAATCTTCGAGCAGTGTTGCGTTTCTTCACAAGGTTGCCTACTGCTTCTGTATTTGAAACAGCACCTAAAGGAATTGTATGCATTTTCAGACAGGTAAGAAGCCAAGAACGAACCACCGTATACAAATTTTGCGTTAGCCACCTACTTACGCCAATCCAGTACACAGGTCCCAGAGGTTTTCTTCCTCTTAAGTCCTGGCCAAACGCAATCGCAAGTAGCCGCAAGTTGAACTTGCGTGGAGACTTGCGATGGGTGGCCAAGCGGACTCGCAGTTGTACATGCAAGACCCCAAAAATCTCATTTCAAGGCTGTATTTGATTGGCTAATTGGTTGATATAACGACGAATGGATTTCACTCAACTTGCCTCGACTTGCGAGCAAATTTGATCTCGACCAAAGTGAATACAGGTCATCGCAAGTCAACGCAAGTGCACGCAAGGCCTCGCCAAACGGAGTCGCAAGTAGAGCCAAGTTTTTAACTTTTCAACTTGCGTCTACTTGCGAGTCCGTTTGGCCAGGGCTTTACTTCTGACATGAGGTAGCGTGTACTTAAATTTGATTGACAAAATTTTGTTACAGAAAAGAAAACGTCTGTTATCAGGATACCAACAAGTTTTTCACAACGATTCTTTGTCTTAGGAGAGTGTTGTGTGACTCACGTCACGCTTGCATATAAAGGCAATAGCCGGGCAAGAACGGGTGACAACTTTGTACTTGCTTCAGTAACTGATAAATTTGACTATTTTTGTTCCTAGTAAATGTCACAAATATTCTCCGTCCGAGCCCACCAAGACGTATGACAAGACTGTGTCAAGAAAAGTCGGAGTTGTCTTTAATCCTGAGCAAGTCTTACGATATGTTGAAGAACCAGAGGCTGTGAGAAGTCATGAACAGTTAGTCCGCGACTACTTAGAGGTAAGAATTTAAATATTTTCGAAGCAATTCATCTATATTGAGGTTATGAGAAACGATGCTTGCTCTCCAAAGTGGACGATATAAAAATTTAAAGGAACGACAGTCTGTTTTAATGTACGGTCTTATCTTCCTTTTCGTGGTCATCTCAATTTTCTTTATCATTGCTTGGAGTGATTTTTAGGCCATTAGGTAAAGTCTTCATACGAACCAAGTGGCCCGGTTTCTGTAGCATGAAGAGACTAGGAATATTTTTACTCCCCTCTGGATGGCATTCTAGTCCATCGCAGGGCTGCCCGAGTATTAAATTCGCCGGTACTCATTTGTACACCTGGTTAGAGAGAGGCACTGTGAGAGTAAAGTGTCTTGCCCAAGAACACACCTCAATGTTCTCGGCCAGGGCTCGAACCCGGACTGCTCTATCCGGTGGCGAGCGCGCTAACCATGAGGCCACCGCGCCTTTAGGCCTTTAGGAGTCGTGACTAAAAGTGTGTAGCTATTTTGAGAGGAGCGCATTTTCATCGACATTCTTTTCATAAATCCAGTCATTAATACATGGTCTCATTTGTGGCTGTGCATTTGTAAGTATTAATGAAACGTAATTGTGTCTTCGTCAGTTCAAATTTCTGATGATGAAGCTTGATCCATCGGAAGAAGACAGTGATGATTCTGGTAATGGTGGAAGAGATAGTCCTGTGGGAGAGGCGGGACAGATGACTGACCTTGAGGTATGCTATTCAACCGTCAATTTTTGGCCCCTTCCAAGTTACGCTGGAGAAATTTTAAAACGCAGCAATCCCCGGTCATTTTGGATTTGTGTTGGAGGAAAACTCGGCCAGGGAAATCACGTGATTATTTTTATGTCATCGATTTCGAAAGCTCCGTTTTCAAAACATATTCCGTCGACGCTAAAACGCAAAGCCGGCTTTTTCAAATTCCTGCAGTTTAAAGAACGTTTTCGAAAAGCTCCGTTTTCGTGACGGATTAGTGTGAACGGTAGGCCTAACCATAGAAATGAAGCTGCGTTTTAAAATTTCTCTTCTTCTCTTTCTTTCCTAGTCATAAGGTTTTATTAACTAAAAATTTTGTACCTCTCTTCTGGACTCCGTCGCTTTTCAACAAGTTCACAGTGCAAATACGTGACAGGTTTTGATTTTGCTTTTTGTTTCAGGGCAACGTTAAAACTCCTGGTGGCAAACCACGAGACAAACGCGCCCCTAAACCAAGAAAGGTCGTCAAGGGTCGAAAAACGCCGCCAGCTGGACAGACAAAGGCAAAGACGAAACCCAAGGGAAAGAGACCTAAGAAGAAAATAATATCCTTTGATTTATGTCATATCAGTCCTTAGCACTGTAAGATGTAGTTTGGACATTTACAGAGTTGCTGACCGTATTAGTCACAGTCGTTCGGTTGGTCACAGTCGGTCGGTTGCTCGTAGCAGCGCAACCTACAGATTATTCACTAATCTGCCTAGCAGATCATTAAATCTGTAGGTTGCGCTGTTTCCCAGAATTAGCTGTAATCTGTAGGTTGCGCGCGCAATGCATGATTTCGAAGAGCAATGTCAAGTTCACGGACAGCGAAGTAAGAACATAGCTTGTCGAAAATAAACTGTGTTCGGTGCGATAATGCTTTTGTCGTTATTTTCTTTAAAACCATGTATAATATAGAAAAAGAAGATTAGGTTAGTGTTATCACAAAAACCTCATCCAATAGTTGTTTAATATACATGTATGATAAATGAACTGTTTATGGTCTTTAACAGTGGAAACGCGTCCATAGATTTGGATCCGAGTCTGTTGGAAGAGAGTGATGAAGATGTTGACTTCCTGTGTCAATGAAGCGGTGGCCATATGAATTATTGAAGGAATTACATACTTGCTGAATTCTAAGACTTTTAAAATTAACGTAGAAAGATCAATTAAGTTTAATGGGGAATTTTTAAATCGCGAACATTATTGACCAAAAGTTATTGTTATAAGATTGCAATTGGTTACAGTACAGGCATTTTTATAGATCTGTTGTATTTTATATCAGCTCTTTATTTCATTGTACATAGGTTCTTTTTACCGCGTAAAAGATCATACATTATTAAGGTAGTTACGGTTATTTATTGTGCAAGCTCCGTCAACTTAGTACATCCTGCTAACCATGTACTAATTCGTTATGTTCATGTTTAACTTTGCCTTCAGTCGTAAAGTGCTGTCGACTTTGCAGCGCTGGAAAGACTATCTTTCACTACAGTCAAATCCCAAAATTTGAGTGCATTTTGCAGGAGGCAGTTATATCCCCTTTGCTCTCCAGTTGCAGTTTGACTTATTTTAGGGTGCTTTTTTTCAGTAGAATCTACCGGTTCCTCAATGGAAGTCAAGTGATATGCTAACAACAGTTTCAAAATTATGATCAAGTGAGAGGGAACTTTTAGCAGAGATCCACGTGTAAATTTAAAAAAATCAATCCAGTTCGTGTTTGTTTTTTATAAAACAACCGCCATAGCTCAAAGAACAGCTCTCTTTATTAAAGTAGAGTAGGTGTAAAAAGCTTTGTATGTATTTTATCAGTGTTAATTTTTTTTT